ATCCGATGAGCTATGAAGCTCTTTTCCCACAGATGTCCAGTATGGGGCGGGTTCAGAACGTTAGAACAAGAAACAATACAATTACATGATAAGCGTTCAGGAAAGGTAAGCAAATAGCTAAACGAAATAAATAAAACACATAAGTACGGATTGAAAAGTAGATAAATTCATGCCGATTTCTTTACAACAATTTCAAGCTTGAACAACGACATTAACAGTCCCAGACTACAGTAAGATAACAACACAGTCCCTCAGTAAAATATCAAGAAAACATTTAACTGCAGTATTGGTGGCATGGCTAAGAATCAAAGTTAGAAATCCCCATTTGCAAATGCGGTTTGTATCCAGCACTTAAAATCAGAATATTTATTTAGACTTCAGGAGGAATCCGATGAGCTATAAAGCTCTTTTTTCCCACATATTTCCAGCAGGAGTTCGGGGTCAGAAAGTTCAGAATCAGAATCTTGATTTTGACTGCAGGAGGAATCAGATGGGCTATAAAACTCTTTCTCCTGCGGTATAAATATTCAGATTCTGATGTACGTCAGTCTAATTACTGTATGTTAAATGAACGTGTGATAATAAAAAATCGCGTTAACGCCATCTGCTTTGATCCACATTGCTCACCGTAGCTGGTGGGCTAGTTGGAATGTACCACTTACTGAGAAGGGAGGGGGTGTTAATGATAATAACCGTAATGTATCTTACTTATACTTAACAAAAAAACAAGAAACGACATTATAAAATAACTGCAACTACCACTGTAAATGATTAACAAATTATAAGTAAAATAAACGGAATATGGTAAAGTATTCGTAAAATTGTGAAATAATCTGATACAATCACCCCTGTGGTTGATAATGGTTTCTCTCTCCGTGGGTTTTAACTACAGGAATCGCGGTGAAATTATTTTATTCAATTGTAATTAAACTTTAAATACTATTTTAAATATACAACACTTATTATTATTGTTTGTGTGTTAACATTCCCGATTGTAAATGTTGTTTTGGCCAATCAACAGGCCGGAAAGACAGAGCGTTGCCGTGACACAATCACACACGCACGAAATTACTAACTTTTATTTATATAGAATTTATATTTGTTTTATACATGAATGTACTTGTCAAGTTATTTGTTTAGCTTTCCACTCATCGTTTTTTTATATTGTAACGTTGTGACCCCGTGGCCCCTCCTGGACATCTGTCAACAAGAGCTTTATAGCTCATCTGATTCCTCCTGTATAAATACTAGCTGTACGCGACGTTACATAGGAAGATCTTACATTTTCTACACAAATATTTCTCTAATGATAGAACAGAGAGAGAGAGAAAAAAAGATAGGTCCATAAGAAGTTATTTTATTCATATTCTTGGTTCTTTTGGTAAAGTCACGTAGAAGGGAAACAATAAAATAATAAAAATATAAAACAATACAATTCTCACGACGTTTCGACTGCAACACAAGCAAATCATCATCAGGTGTGAAAACCACAGCAAGGAAAATTTTAAAAAAGTGGCGGATTTTTTTTTTAACGAAAGAATCAAGAACGTGAATTCCTACAGTCACGAAAGCTTTAAAGACAAAAATATTTTCTTTAGTTAGATCGCGTAAAATATAAATGTGTTGTTAAACCCGCCACCACCCGACACAGCTAATTATTAAAGGGGGTTTGTGTCGCGTCAACAAAACGTGGCCCAATTTCGCTGCTAGCATAGCACTAACCGGTTGTGTGTCGGGGAGAGTAAAACCACAACAAGTTTCGAGTCCCGACGTTTCGCCAGTAATTACAACCGGCATCATCAGGTGACAGCCAGATTTTGTGGAGAAAACCTCCCTGTTTCGTTCTTAAATATCTCGCCCGATGATGCTGGTTGTTGTAATTACTGGCAAAACGTACTCGAATTGTAAATGTTGTGGGTTTTACCCTCCAACACATAACCGGTTAGTGCTGTACTAGTCACGTGACAAACACCTTCACCGATCTAACCCTCCAAAAAACCTTGTTCTGGATAATATTGGTGGCGAAAGCACTACTACTATATACCTGTCAACCCATTATCAGTTCCTACCTTATTACAAACCAATTCAGACCTTATTGGTCACCCCGTGGCCTTTATAAATCTCAACGTTCATTCTACAAAGTCTCATCACAATGGAGAAATGCACACAAATAGACAATGACCACTACTACACTCACCCACTACACTCACCACTAGTACACTCACCACAAGTACACTCACCACTACACTCACCACTGCATACCTGTGAAATTCTAATCAATGCCCTACCTTATTACATGCCAACTCAGACCTTATTCATCACCCCGTGCCCCTTATAAATCTCAACATTCATCCTACAAAGTCCCATCGCAAGGGAGAAACACAAATATATATTAAAAAAACATGTTACTAAACAAAAACGTGTATGTATTAATGTTAATAATTGGTGTTAATAATGCTACTTATGCTACTTCCTGTGATCTTGCATGCTGATGATGCTTGCTTGATATGTGGATGCACACACCTGTCAACCCCTTACCAATGCGCTAACTTATTACATGCCAATTCACACGTTCTTGGTCACCCCGTGGCCCCTATAAATCTCAACGTCCATCCTGCAAAGTCCCATCACAAGGGAGAAACACAAATAGCCAATCACCACTACTACACTCACCACTGGTACACCCATCACTACACTCACCACTAGTACACTCACCACTATATACCTGGCAACCCCTTATCAATATCCTGCCTTATTTCAGACCAATTCAGACCTTATTAGTCATCCCGTGCCCCTTATAAATCTCAACGTTCATCCTACAAAGTCCCATAACAAGGGAGAAACACACAAATAGACAATTACCACTAGTACACTCACCACTAGTACACTCACCACTAGTACACTCACCACTACACTCACCACTACTACACTCACCACTACTACACTCACGACTACTACACTCATCACTAGTACACTCACAACTAGTACATTCACCACTACACTCACCACTACTACACTCACCACTAGTACACTCACCACTACTACACTCACCACTAGTACACTCATCACGAGTACACTCACCACTAGTACACTCACCACTAGTACACTCACCACTACTACACTCACCACTAGTACACTCACCACTACTACACTCACCACTACTACACTCACCACTACTACACTCACCACTAGTACACTCATCACTAGTACACTCACCACTAGTACACTCACCACTACACTCACCACTATTACACTCACCACTAGTACACTCATCACTAGTACACTCACCACGAGTACACTCACCACTAGTACACTCACCACTACACTCACCACTACACTCACCACGACATACCTATCAACCCCTTATCAATGCCCTATATTATTACAGACCAATTCAGACCTTATTGGTCACCCCGTGGCCCCTATAAATCTCAACGTTCATCCTACACAAGTCCCATCACAAGGGGGAGAAAAACACAAATAGACAATCACCACTACTACACTCACCACTACACTCACCACCACAAACCTGTCAACCCCTTATCAATGCCCTATCTTATTACAGACAAATTCAGACCTTATACATTATGAGACCTCCTTTGCCAGTAACAAGATATAGGAATAGGTTTTACCCTTTTAACTGGCACAAAAAAACTGTTGTGGTTATTGCAAACATGATGCCTTGAATAAAGGTTTCAGTTTTTTGTGCCAGTTAAAAGGGTAAAACCTATTCCAATATCTTGTTACTGGCAAAGGAGGTCTCATAATGTAAATGCTCACCCTGAGCCCTCATTACTCTGATATTGCGCTGTTTTTGAGTTGTACGCCTTTTGGCGTCTTCTGGTCCAACACCAATGGAGACTAGGCTCTGAGAAAAGCCGTCTCGGGTGTGGACCAATCAAATTCAAGGACAGTGCCAATATTATTATCAGAGTTGTCTTTTTTGTTTGCATTTTGACTGCTTGTGTTGTGGTTATTGCAAACATGATGCCTTGAATAAAGGTGTCAGTTTTTTGTGCCAGTTAAAAGGGTAAAACCTATTCCTAAATTCAGACCTTTTTGATCACCCCGTGGCCCCTATAAATCTCAACGTTCATCCTACACAAGTCCCATCGCAAAGGGAGATACACACACAAATAGACAATCACCACTACTACACTCACCACAAGTACACCCATCACTACACTCACCACTAGTACACTCACCACTAGTACACTCACCACTAGTACACTCACCACTACTACACTCACCACTAGTACACTCACCACTACTACACTCACCACTACTACACTCACCACTAGTACACTCACCACTACACTCACCACCACACACCTGTCAACCCCTTATAAATGCCCTATCTTATTACAGACCAATTCAGATCTTATTGGTCACCCCGTGCCCCTATAAATCTCAACGTTCATCCTACACAAGTCCCATCGCAAAGGGAGATGCACACACAAATAGACAATCACCACTACTACACTCACCCCTAGTACACTCACCACCACATACCTATCAACCGCTTATCAATGCCCTATCTCATTACAGACCAATTCAGACCTTATTGGTCACCCCGTGGCCCCTATAAATCTCAACGTTCATCCTACACAAGTCCCATCGCAAAGGGAGAGATACACAAGCGGACATGATGTCACAATTGCCGTGCCCGTATTGAAACGCCTTGTACGCCGTACGGATCTGAACTCTCTTGCGAACGAGAACACCGAATTCTCAGGGGTCACTCGCTAAACAGCCCCTCCTAGTGGCAAGGTCAAGGAACCGCTACTAACTGTTAATTTATATATTTTTTAAAAATATATATTTTAAAAAATAACATTTATATATTTACGCGATCTAACACCGCCCCCCTCCCCCTCCCCCACAATTTTTTTGTTATTATTGATGATTTTGCTCGCGAAAGCCTACTTACTACGCGTTTAAAAAATAAAAACTATTTACTGAGAGCGTGCGGTGTTTAACGCCGGTGGCGTCACGCGTTGCCCGTGGTAACCGACGAGCCAAGGCGGAAACGCGGCCACGAGTGGCTGTGTGGGTGGCTGTGAGTAGCTGTGTGGGTGGCTATGTGGGTGGCTGTAGGTGGCTGTGAGTAGCTGTGTGAGTAGCTGTGTAGGTGGCTGTGTGGGTGGCTGTGAGTAGCTGTGTGGGTGGCTGTGAGTAGCTGTGTGGGTGGCTGTGTGGGTGGCTGTGGGCGGCTGTGGATGGCTGTGTGGGTGGCTGTGAGTAGCTGTGAGTAGCTGTGTGGGTGGCTGTGTGGGTGGCTGTGGGTAGCTGTGCGGGTGGCTGGAGGTGGCTGTGAGTAGCTGTGTGGGTGGCTGTGTGGGTGGCTGTGGGCGGCTGTGGATGGCTGTGTGGGTGGCTGTGAGTAGCTGTGCGGGTGGCTGGAGGTGGCTGTGTGGGTGGCTATGTGGGTGGCTGTGAGTAGCTGTGTGGGTGGCTGTGTGGGTGGCTGTGTGGGTGGCTGTGAGTGGCTGTGTGGGTGGCTGTGAGTAGCTGTGAGTAGCTGTGTGGGTGGCTGTGTGGGTGGCTGTGGGTAGCTGTGTGAGTAGCTGTGTGAGTAGCTGTGTGGGTGGCTGTGGGTGGCTGTGAGTAGCTGTGTGAGTAGCTGTGTGGGTGGCTGTGAGTAGCTATGTGAGTAGCTGTGTGAGTGGCTGTAGGTGGCTGTGAGTGGCTGTGTGGGTGGCTATGTGGGTGGCTGTTTGGGTGGCTGTGGGTGGCTGTGAGTGGCTGTGTGGGTGGCTGTGGGTGGCTGTAGGTGGCTGTGAGTAGCTGTGTGAGTGGCTATGTGGGTGGCTGTGGGTGGCTGTAGGTGGCTGTGTGGGTGGCTGTGGGTGGCTGTGAGTAGCTGCGTGGGTGGCTGTAGGTGGCTGTGTGGGTGGCTGTGTAGGTGGCTGTGGGTGCTGTAGGTGGCTATGTGGTTGGCTGTGGGTGGCTGTGAGTAGCTGCGTGGGTGGCTGTAGGTGGCTGTGTGGGTGGCTGTGTGGGTGGCTGTGGGTGCTGTAGGTGGCTATGTGGTTGGCTGTGGGTGGCTGTGAGTAGCTGTGTGGGTGGCTATGTGGGTGGCTGTGGGTGGCTGTGGGTGACTATGCGGGTGGCTGTGAGTAGCTGTGTGGGTGGCTGTGTGGGTGGCTGTGGGTGGCTGTAGGTGGCTGTGTGGGTGGCTGTAGGTGGCTATGTGGGTGGCTGTGAGTAGCTGTGTGGATGGCTGTGTGGGTGGCTGTGGGTGGCTGTAGGTGGCTGTGTGGGTGGCTGTAGGTGGCTGTGTGGGTGGCTGGGTGGGTAGCTGTGTGGGTGGCTGTGTGGGTGGCTGTAGGTGGCTGTGTGGTTGGCTGTGTGGGTGGCTGTGAGTAGCTGTGTGGGTGGCTGTGGGTGGCTGTGGGTGGCTGTAGGTGGCTGTGTGGGTGGCTTTGTGGGTAGCTGTGGGAGGGTGTGGGTGGCTGTGTGGGTGGCTGTAGGTGGCTGTGTGGGTGGCTGTGTGGGTAGCTGTGTGGGTGGCTGTTTGGGTGGCTGTAGGTGGCTGTGTGGGTGACTGTGTGGGTAGCTGTGTGGGTGGCTGTGGGTGGCTGTGAGTAGCTGGGTGGGTGGCTGTAGGTGGCTGTAGGTGGCTGTGTGGTTGGCTATGTGGGTGGCTGTGAGTAGCTGTGTGGGTGGCTGTGAGTAGTTGCGTGGGTGGCTGTGTGGGTGGCTGTGAGTAGCTGTGTGGGTGGCTGTGAGTAGCTGTGTGGGTGGCTGTGTGGGAGGCTGTGTGGGTAGCTGTGTGGGTAGCTGTGGGAGGGTGTGGGTGGCTGTAGGTGTCTGTGGGTGGCTGTGGGAGGCTGTGTGAGGCTGTGTGAGTGACTGTGGGAAGGCTGTGGGTGGCTGTGGGTGGCTGTGAGTAGCTGTGGGTGACTGTGTGGGTGGCTGTGTGGGAGGCTGTGTGGGTAGCTGTGTGGGTGGCTGTGGGAGGCTGTGTAAATAAAACCACCACCACCCCTCACGCAAACACCCCCTTCTCAATTTCAGAAGCGAGAAGCACAACTCGCTTTGGCAATGTGACTTGATGGCGATTTAAAAGCACCACCACCAACCAACAACCAACCAACAACAACAACAACTACCACAACAACCACAAACCAACAAGCACCACTCTCGCGGACTAAAGCGGATGGAGAACGGCGGCTGGGATCGGTGGCGAAGGAGGAGCGGGAGGAGGAGCCCTCAGTCCGAGGTTTGACGAGGAAGAATTCGCGGTGACAATTCACGGGAAGGAGACGCAGCTGACGCCAATTAAGCGAGCGATTAACGCGAGCGGAACGGCTGCAGTTTTGACACAGTTTGATCCCAACCCTAATGCCTGCTGTGTATTTGGAGTTTGCGTGTCTCTGTCTCTCTTATCATCACGGTGGCTAGGAGATGTTAACTACCTCGCCTGATATACAGGAGGTCGTGGGTTTGATTCCGACGCCTGTGTATTTATAGTTTGCGTGTCTCTCTCATCATCATCATCACGGTGGCTAGGAGATGTTAACTACCTCGCCTGGTACACAGGAGGTCGTGGGTTCCATCCCAACCCTAACGCCTGCTGTGTATTTGGAGTTTGCCTGTCTCTCTCTCTGTCATCATCATCACGGTGGCTAGGAGATGTTAACTACCTCGCCTGGTACACAGGAGGTTGTGGGTTCCATCCCAACCCTAACGCCTGCTGTGTATTTGGAGTTTGCGTGTCTCTCTCTCATCATCATCACGGTGGCTATGAGATGTTAACTACCTCGCCTGGTACACAGGAGGTCGTGGGTTCCACCCCAACCCTAACTCCTGCTGTGTATTTGGAGTTTGCGTGTCTCTCATCATCATCACGGTGGCTATGAGATGTTAACTACCTCGCCTGGTGTACAGGAGGTCGTGGGTTCCATCCCAACCCTAACGCCTGCTGTGTATTTGGAGTTTGCGTGTCTCTCTCTCATCATCATCATCACGGTGGCTATGAGATGTTAACTACCTCGCCTGGTGTACAGGAGGTCGTGGGTTCCATCCCAACCCTAACGCCTGCTGTGTATTTGGAGTTTGCGTGTCTCTCTCTCATCATCATCACGGTGGCTATGAGATGTTAACTACTTCGCCTGGTGTACAGGAGGTCGTGGGTTCCATCCCGACGCCTGTGTATTTGGAGTTTGCGTGTGTCTCTCTCTCTCCGTGGTCGCGTCGATTTTTTTCTGCGATGTGCAAAAATCATCGCCCGCTGTGGGGAGGGGAGTGGGGGAAGACAAAGACGGCCGGTCGGTCGCGGTAGCAGACCACCCCACGCTCCCACGTGTTCCTTGCCGGCCTATCATCGGCGCTTCTCGCCAACAGCGCTCGCCCCAACGGGTCCGTTTGAAGGCTATGGGTTCCGTCCATAAATGACGTCACGCGATTTTGGACGATTTTTGAACCCCTCCCTCGTCACACGGCGCCACAAAAAGTCAGACACCCCCCTCCCCCCTCAAATATGACGTCACAAAGCTCTGCCCCCCTCCCCCCATCCCCCCCAAAAACCATATTTCCATTTTGAAAATAAAACATGCTTCAAATCGCTTTAAGCTATTGTCACATTGTAGCGCGTATTTAATGTGGCGCTGCACTCTGATGTTGTAGGAGTGTTGTTATAACAATTAGTGTTATAACAATTTCTTTATTTATATATAAAAAAAATTATTGCTGTGGTTTTCACACCTGATGATGATTGATTGTGTTGCAGTCGAAACGTCGTGAGAATTTCATTGTTTTATATTTGTATTATTTTATTGTTTCCCTTCTACGCGGTGGTGACTTTACCGAAAGAACCAAGAATGTGAATCCCTGCAGTCACGAAAGCTTTAAGTCAAAATTCTGTATTTATTTAAAGTTGCGCAATTTTGATGTGAAGTCACATTTCTCAAACCCCCCACCCCTGCTCGTCACTAGGTGCGTGACGTCATTTATGGACGGCCCCTATACAAGACGTCGTGGGTTCGATCCCGACCTTTGGCGGCTGCTCTGTATGTGGCTATGAAATGAAAGGCTTCACACTTTCTGGCCGCGATGAAACGTAAAACAAAAACAGTTCGTGTTAAGATGTTAAAACAAACCCCCCCCCTCCTCCTCCTCCTCCTCGTCACACATCGTCACAAATCTCTGACCCCCCCCCCACACCCCGCAGGTGCGTGACGTCATTTATGGACGGCCCCCTATACGAGGTGGTGGTGGGGGTGAATCTTTGTCTTCGACATGGCGCGGATGTCACGTACTGATTACTGAACGGAATGGGGGGCGGGGGCATTGCGAGTGAAAATCCAGCGCCCGTTGTCAGCGTCACAAAGCCCTCGATCGGCGGCGGTGTTCGACTTTCGTCCTTCAAAGGCACCGCCAGCGATGGCCTCTCCCTAATTATCGCTGCCATCCCAGCCCGTGGGCAATTGCGTAATTAGCTGTAGCTTCACGTATAATTAGCCTTGCGTTTTTGGATAAAAACATTTTTTTTAGTTTTTTTTTACACCCCCCAGACGTATATTGACAGCTGCCCGCAAGAGGCTTGTAGTTGTCGTAGCAGGAGTGAGCAGCAGCAGCAGCAGGAGCGAGCAGCAGCAGCAGCAGCAGTGAGCAGCAGCAGCAGGCAGCAGCAGCAGCAGCGAGCAGCAGCAGCGAGCAGCAGTAGTAGCAGCAGCAGCAGTAGCAGCAGTAGTAGCAGCAGCAGCAGTAGCAGCAGTAGTAGCAGCAGCAGCAGTAGCAGCAGCAGCAGTAGCAGCAGTAGTAGCAGCAGCAGCAGTAGCAGCAGCAGCAGTAGTAGCAGCAGCAGCAGTAGCAGCAGCAGTAGCAGCAGCAGCAGTAGTAGCAGCAGTAGCAGCAGCAGCAGTAGTAGCAGCAGCAGTAGCAGCAGCAGTAGCAGCAGCAGTAGCAGCAGCAGTAGTAGCAGCAGCAGCAGTAGCAGCAGCAGTAGCAGCAGCAGCAGCGAGCAGCGAACAGCAGCAGCAGTGTTCACCAGGGTGGCCGTGAGGGTTCGAACCGCGGACCTCTGCAGCGACACGGCCGCTGCCACTTGACGGTGGCTAGGAGATGTTAACTACCTCGCCTGGTGTACAGGAGGTCGTGGGTTCGACCCCAACCCTAACGCCTGCTACTGTATATTTGGAGTTTGCGTGTCTCTCTCTCATCATCATCACGGTGGCTAGGAGATGTTAACTACCTCGCCTGGTATACAGGAGGTCGTGGGTTCGACCCCAACCCTGACGCCTGCTGCTGTATATTTGGAGTTTGCGTGTCTCTCTCTCTCATCATCATCACGGTGGCTATGAGATGTTGACTACCTCGCCCGGTGTACAGGAGGTCATGGGTTCGATCCCGACGCCTGTGTATTTGGAGTCTGCGTGTCTCTCTCATCATCATCATCACGGTGGCTAGGAGATGTTAACTACCTCGCCCGGTGTACAGCATGTCGTGGGTTCGACCCCAACCCTGACGTCTGCTGCTGTATATTTGGAGTTTGCGTGTCTCTCTCTCTCTCTCTGCGTGGTCGCGTGGATTTTTCTCCGGTTCCTCCGGGGTTTTCCCTGCACATTTAGACTCGACATCACCACGCGTTCGGAGTGTTTGGCTGCTCGACATTTCCACGCGCTGAGCCACTTCCTTGAGCAATAATTTGCGGCCAGCTCGCTTCTGAAAAACATCGTTTTAGTTCATCTATGCAAAACGTATTATGCCAATCGTTACGCAACTGTCAAGAAATGTTCAGCGGGGCTCGGGCAGGACAAGTCACAAAGAAGGGTCGAGACTAGCGACAGAGTGGCAGCCCGAGGTTGACGGAACTCGCCCAGGGAGGACGTCCACTAGCCCGGAGGGACGGGGCGGTGATGAGGCCCGCTCGGGTGCAGGTGCAGGTGCTGGGCGGATCGTGAAAGCGCGGACACAGCGGGGGCCGGAGGCATCGACGCCCACGGCGGGCGCTGGGAAGATGCCGTGAACCAAGCCAAAACTTTAGCTACCTTATAAGCACACGGCATATTCTTGACGAACTTTTCCATTCTTTGGTTCCTTTTTTTTTTCCATTGCCCCCGTGCAGTGGCCCACCGGATCCACCGCGGCCTTCAACGTAACAAAAGACGGATTAACTTAGCCCCGCAACCCCATCAATGTCCCCCACTTGGCTCCCACCCCCCCCACCCCCCCCCCCCCCCCCCCCGCCGCCCCCCTTAACTTGTATTTAAGCTCGAGGCTCTCAGAGCCTCCCCACTTGATGCAGCGATCTTGCTGCGACTGTTCCACCTGAAGACGGAGGCTTGTGTTGCCTCCGAAACGTCGCGATTTAATTGTCTTCTTTTTTTTTATTTCACCTACGGGTTCGATCCCGGCCCTGGGGCCTGCTGTAAATATTTGGAGTTTGCGAGTTATCCCCGGTGGTCGCGCGGATTTTTCGCCGCATCGAAAGGTCGGCGGAGCGACGCTCACAACAATGGGGCGGGTCGCCGGGCGGATAAAATGCACGCTACGTTTCACAGGTGGTGCATCTGGCAGTCTATCTCAGGCAGTCAACCCATGGCAGCTGGGTCTGTCACTGTGACCTCCAGTACCTAGCAGGAGATCGTGGGTTCGATCCCGGCCCTGGGGCCTGCTGTAAATATTTGGAGTTTGCGAGTTATCCCCGGTGGTCGCGCGGATTTTTCGCCGCATCGAAAGGTCGGCGGAGCGACGCTCACAACAATGGGCGGGTCGCCGGGCGGATAAAGTGCACGCTACGTTTCACAGCTGGTGCATCTGGCAGTCTATCTCAGGCAGTCAACCCATGGCACCTGGGTCTGTCACTGTGACCTCCTGCACCTAGCCTGGCACAGTGGGGAGCGCAGGTGGTGCATCTAGTGGTCATCTCAGTTAGTCAACCCATGGCACCTGGGTCTGTCACCGTGACCTCCTGCACCTAGCCTGGCACAGTGGGGAGTGCAGGTGGTGCATCTGCCCAGTCATCTCACTTAAGTCAACCCATGGCACCTGGCTCTGTCAACCGTGACCTCCTGCCAGCAGCGAGCCTTCGACACTCCACGTGGCCTCGGAGTGCATCCGGCCTGGCGCAAGCGCCGTGGTGACGTGAACCGCCTCTTAACGGCGAACGGCCGCCGCCGCTGTTGTTGGTACATCTCAACACCGCAGCGCGTCGGGATATATCGAGAGCCTCGGACAGGCCTTCATTCCAGCAGTGGTTTGACCGTGCGCGCTGATGAT